GAAGGTGATAGAAAACAGGCTTGGAAAGTTTATCTAAGAGACTGAGGTGCCAAACAGCTTAGCAGGGACAATGGTTAAATTTAACTTTAAGCACAAATAAAATGGATGGATGGATGGATGGATGGATGAAGTACCTCACTTCCCATGGAGGTGCTGTAGAAGATAGCTGCACTGGCCCCACATGGCTGGCGTGATCCCAACAGCCTCGCCATGCTGCTGCTCAGAGGACAAGGAATGGAGATGTGAAGAGCGGTGCTGGGCCCTGCGACAGGCAACAACTTGCTCCTTTGCAGGAACAGCCCTCCCGTGCTGGCACTGCCTGCAGAGCGAGGGGCAGCCGCTTCCCCGGGGCAGTGCCGTGCTCTTGGGAGCAGCAGCGCACTGGCACACCAGGAGAGGAAAGCTGGGATCGCTTTGCACCTTCCCACTTAGGTACTGCTCTCCCCAGTTTTGCAGTAGCTAGGAGAGAAACATTTCTACACCTAAACCCTGCCTGGCTGTAGCAAAACTCCTAGAAATTCATGACCAAAGACAGGTCTGGCGCTAACATCCTCAGATGACCTGCTGTTACAAATTCCTAGGGCTCTGGCTATTTATAAATTGCCCGATAAGGCTGGAGTTCAAGAATGTACTAACGTTTATAACTACTGAGCCAAATCGTCCTCTTGGGCATCTTCCTTGTGCCAGGGAATTCAGAGAAGGTATCTGCTATATGAGGATGGTCAAAAATGGCCCCCAAAATAACTTGTTGTAACAATATGCTGAAGAATACATAAACTCCTGGGAGCCCCTAATGGGGTAATACCTGTGGTAAAGCTGGGCTGCTGAGGCAAATGAAACTCACCCAGGAGCTGTACTCTGGGGGAAATGCTGCAGGACTGGAGGTCCATATAATCTAGTGTAGAAACCTACCTAACGTGATGGTGGTCTGTTGCTAGGACTCCTGCATGACTGCAATCACAAACCACAGGTCCAACTCTTGCCCTTCTGCTCATTCGCTAGTAGCGTTGCAAAGAAAAATGCCAACTGCAGTGTGTCCCAGTCCTGTAGCTTTGTAACAGCACCTTCATCGGGCTTGCTTTTAAAGCAGGGTGACAGAGCAGTAAATTTGAAAAAAAAAAAAAAAATCTGCCACCTAGTGGCAAAAGAATTTCTTTTAGGGAAATGATGTGAGCGTGTCTTGCTGTCTCAGTGGTGGTTTTCCAAAGGTATTTTCATTTAATGAACTCTCAGCAAAGCAGTATTTGGAGGGTATGGATTTGGAGAATGTTTTGGCTGTGTAGCAAGGTATTTACAGCATGTAAGGATTCACAAGACTGGCACATTTTCTTCTTATGGACCCTATGGAAAAGGGCTTAAGACTAGCTGCTCCTGAGATATAAAACGAATAAAGAATTAGGAAGATGTGCCTCCAAGCCTGCAAGGTCTCTCTGAATTTAAATGCTAGGAGTCTTAATCAGTAGGAGAAAATGGCTATTTTTGGCTCATTTCTGTAAGAAAAAATATGAACCAAGTGATTTTTTTCCTAAATCATCCTTTGATAACAGAAGTGTGCTTCACGCCAGATGTTTCTTCATGTTCCCTTCTCCACATCTGCGGTGTGAAGAGGAGCAACAAGGTCCCCCTTCCCAGGTTTCAGCCTGAAAATGGGGGACCCTTCAGTGAGTCCAAGAGCAAAATGGTTGTCTGGCAGGAGAACCTTGTGCAATGAAGCATCGTAAAGATACAGAGACCTTTCCAACTTGGGAAGACAATAAAAGAGCCAACACTGTGTTTCTACTTCCATACACTGTATTGGTGGAGCAGAGGGAATTACTGCAGCCAGTCCTGGTCATCACCTTTGCCAAGGGCACCGAAAACACAAAAAAGGGGGCAAAGAATGAGATAAAAATAATAAAGAGTTGGACATCAGGTCTTACAATGAGAAACTCCAGAATTTCAAGATTGAAAAGTGGCTTGCTCACAATGTAGAAGTTCATAGCTGCTACTGAGTTACCACAAAATCAGCTTCCCAGGGCCTTTGTCACCTGGAAGAGAAAAAAACCAAAAGAACTGATGATGCCACACAATCTTGCGTTAGTGACAAGGCTTGACATTTAATCACAAGGAAATTAGCCCTTGGAGCAAAATACAAAGAGAGGTGCTGGAGTCTGTGTCCTGGAATCTGTCTCCTGAAGTATTCAAATAAAGACTACATACCTTCCTGGAAGTTAAACTTTGGGCAGTTTTTTGTGGTATAAGATAGTATAAGAGATCAGGCCAGATGATATGGTGGTGCCTTCTAGTCTTGAAATCTGGGAATTAAGTCATATCTGTCAATGAAGTCTTGGTGCTCAGGAGTGTAGTTTGGTGTTAGGAGCCTAATTTAGGAACAAAGTGTGAAGAACATGTGTTAAAGGATGAGCAATGAGGATAAGAGCAGTCATAGTCAGTCCTATAATCGCTGCAGGACTCGATATATTCTGCAAGTCTGAAGTCACAGGTAGATGGGAGGTGTTGAAATACATTTCTCTTCTGCACACTTAGACACCTTCTGTAGAAATAGTTATGAAGTGAGAAAACTATCCCAAAGGAGTTTCAGCTTTATCACTCGATGGGTTGCTTTGTAAGAAGATGGTCTTCTCTGGGGGTCTGTAGCATCCCCGGTCCCCATCCCTGCTGACAGCTCTCACTGGAGGCTCCCTTGCAGTCTCCTAGTTGACATGTAAATGTCCTTGACCAACATCAGCAGAATCAGGCTACCTGTGCATAGGCATCCTTTCAATTTATGAAGGGGGCTTATAAGAAAGATGGAGAGAGAGTTTTTATCAAGGCCTGTAATGGCAGGACAAGGGGTTTTAAACTGCAAGAGGGTAGATTTATATTGGACATAAGGAAGACATATTTTATGATGAAGGTGGTGAGACACTGGAGCAGGTTCTCAGAAAAATTATGGGTGCTTCATCCCTGGAAGTGGTCAAAATCAGGTTGGATGGGGCTTTGAGCAACCTGATCTAGTGAAAGATGTCCCTGGCCCGTGGCAAGGCAGTTGGACTAGATGACCTTTAAAGGTCCCTTCCAACACAAACTGTTCCATGGTTGTATGGTTCTATACTGACCCAGATAGCTTAAAATTTATTACCAATTTTTTTTTTCAGTGCTAGCTGGATGCTGAAAACATGCCAGAAGCAGCTCATTTCTTGTACCAAACTTAAATTACCGGCCTAGTTATGGCCAAGACAAACTGATCCTCAAATGTTTGCTGGGATATTTGACTGGAGGAGGTGTTTCACAGTGGCAGTGATTTTGGGGAAATGCTTGCAGCAAGCTGCCTTAAGGGGCTGTGTTCACTCCACTGGAGAGTGAGGTGCTGCTGACTTCACCAGTCCAAGTGGGATCAAATCAACACAGAGGGCTGTTCTGAGCCTTCTGAATGCATGGACAGGGATGGCTTTGCTCCTTGCCAGAGAATGTCTCCGTGTCTCCAGCCAGGAGGAAAGGAGCAGGTGGTGGTGAAGGTGGGGGTCTCCTCCAGCTGTGGTGCTCCGTGCTATTGACTCACTGCTTTGTAACTCATCCTCTCTGATTCACCACCTTCAGACGATGAATGTAAATTGCAAAAGCAGGGTTGGATGTTTGAAGGCTGAAAATAAAGGACTGGCTTTGCTTTCTTTAGGCATGAGTGTTTCCAGGGTAATATCTCCATTGCAGCAGCCGGCGGGAGCCCCCAGCACTGGGGACCCCTCGGCTGCCAGAGGCGCACTGCCCCAGCAGTGTAGGGGTCCTGTGGGGGCCGAGGTCCCTCTGTGCCACTGGGAACAAGTGCATTTCTCAGCCAGGCTAATGGCAGGGGATGACACCCCACTCTGAGGGGTTTCAAGCAGGCAGCACACCTACACAGCTCTGCCCCACAGGCTGCCCACCCTCTCCCCTGACAGGTTACTTAACGTCAGAGGTTTGTTTCTGCACCAGCACAACCTAAAGCATTAGATTCCCTGTCAGGAAAATCTGCCTATGAAAAGAGGTGGCACCCTTTCTCCCCTCAGCCCCAAGGGCTCAAGAAGCCTGAATCAGGTGGTGGTTGCTTTCCCAGGAGGCTTGCAAGGTATATTGGCTTGTTACATGCTTTTCTGCAGGGAAAGCTAATGCTGCTTCCCACAGGAGTGCATGCCCAAGTGCTGAGGCCAGGGCAGCAAGTGCAGTCCCCCTGCAAGGCTGTCCCTTGGTGTCACTCCCACCTTGCAGATCTTGCCCTGTGCTCAGGGAGACACAGGACTGGCTATGCAAGGTCCCACTTTGGACCTTAAATTTTGTTAATGTTACCTTTAAGAAATTATATTGACAATTCTCCTCTTCTGCCAACATGAGAAATGTTTTCCTGGAGCTATCAATTCCTACAGAAGGAAATTCTTTGGTCATCCCCTCCACTGCTAGTAAGCACTCTGCCATAGGCCCAACATCTTCTAAGGTAAAGGTCTCTGTCCTTCAACCATGGCTCTTCCTGGCTGGGCAGCCTCTGCAAGAACCAAACTGAGGGGACAAACAGTACAGCTCATTTTTTTGGGAGGAGGCTCCTCCCCTCAAGGTGTTTATTATCAAGGTTTTCTTCCTAGAAATACCCTACAGCTCAAATTGAAGTGATGGGATTGAGAGAAGTGTCCTTATAGAAATGTGACTGATCATAAGTGGTGCCTTTCAGCCCTTAAAATCCATGAGATTGTACACAACAGCAATAACCTCCCTGAATCACACTATCTCTGGCTGTGCCTTTGGTACCCAGAAAGTGACCGCAGCCAAGTATGCCCAGAACCATCTCTGTGTTTTCCTGCTGACATCCCCCTTTTGTCCACCAAACCCCTTCAAAATGAGGCCCACACACATCTGCTCAGAGGGCTGTCTTTTATTTTGGAAGAGGCACGAGGAGCTTCTGGCTCACAGTTGGTGGGACAGACCTAAAGCCGATGGGGAGGAGAGATGTGGTAGAGGAACAACTGTGCCCAAGTGCTGCTCCCTGCTGCAGCTCAGCGGCTCAGGAGACAAGGGTAGCACTTGCGTGCTATTTCGATCTTCATGATGCTATTGGGTCCCAGCGAGTAGGTCACCTCATCCTTGCTCACTCCCGGCGGCAGGCTGATTTCCTTCGTGGTGCTTCTGTAGTTATACTCCTTCCCTTCTGCAGTTGCGTGCTCCTCCCTGTGCTCCGCTAACACCTTCACCTTCCCATCTTTCACCGTTACAGTGACTTCCTTGGGGTCAAACCCCTTCATGTCCATCAAAGCCAAAAGCTTGTTATCATGGGAAAAGTTCGATAATCTGTTAAGTCTTCTTTGCATGCTGGAATAAAAACAAGAGGACAGTCTTTCAGTCCAACTCACAGAGGAATGGGTGGACCACCTTAAGGACAAGAGAACTAAATAGGAAACTACTGGATTCATCTTCATGCACTTGGGGTGGTGTCTGCACCATCAGAAGGAGCTCCCATCTGCAGGCCACAGCAGTCAGAAGTGTTTCAGTGTCCCCTCTTGGGATGGAGCAATTGTGTTCTTTCACCTAGATACAGAGAAGCCAGCACTTCTCTTTCACATGTACATACACTCACGAAGTTGTGTGTGTCCCTCTGATGCCTTGTCCTACATTTTAAACGGATAGTTACAATAGATTGCATTTTCCAGTTAGTAGTTTTGTTCAAAGCAATCAGTGGATAGGAGACACATCTGGCAAAAGAAAAACAAAACCAAAAAACAAATGCAGATCTGGTCTGGAGGCTCACTGAGCCATTAAAATGATTTCTGATACTGTCAAACAGCAACTGCTCAACCAGAAGTCTGGCTCTTATTCAAACCATTTATAAAATAGACAATGGAAGGGTCACCTCAGTTATAACAGCTCCATTGGACACAAGGTACCAAATTAAAATGATAATGGATGCAATGGAAGAGGAAGCAGAGCAAGCAATGAGGGAATGGCATGACCACTAAGGTGAGAAATCCCTAATGAGTGGTTCGTTAGCAAGGTACACCCATTTCAGCAATCCTACTTAAAGCCTGCAATGAGTCAACCTGGTGTGGTGATTTTGAGGTGCATTTTCTGTGCTCTCTGAGAGCTGGATCCTCCACCTGCCCCTTTGATCTTTTTTGTATCACTGGTCAGAAGAGAATAAATGTACTGACAAGAATTGGTCCTTCTCAGCATTTTTTTGTGGGAAGGGGATGGTTGAACTCCCCAGCATGACGGGCTGAAATCCTCCAGTGGTGTGGTTTCAGATGGCACTGGTATGGGTTTGTGTTCAAACCAGCAAGTTTACTGAGCATTGCAGGGCCAGAGAGCCTGTCACTTAGGGAGAGCATGCCCTGACATCCCATGACCCATCCTGAGACCCAGCTTCCATTTAGACTAAATTTCCATTCTTTCACTGGGATTTTGTTGTGCAATGATTCTGCAAGGGAATGCTGCACCTGCCCAGCTCTGGTACCCAATGCACTGATGAAAATCTGGACACACACACCAGCCCTGTAACACCTGGGACTGTTACCTGACTGCTCTGCATGAGCTGCAGCTAAATTTAATCTCACAGCAACTTTAGGATTTGCTGAAGTCCGTGTAAAATTAACTCGGGGGTCAGGGTTTTTCCTTTTTCCTCTAACTTTATTGCACCTAGCAGATAACACACATGGTAGACTGTGGGATGATACTTGCTGCTCTACGGGTAACAAAAATTTTACATTTTTAATTGCCAAGATGAAGGTCTCATCATCTCCAGGTGCAACACAAGAGAACCCAGACAAAAGCTTGAGTTTGGAGAGAAAATACCAATCCCACAAATGCAGCAAGAGAATCACACCTTGGAGCCAAGGGACTTCTCAGGGGTCTCTCATTGTCTGGTTGTTCCTTAACCCAAACGGTAAGGTTTCATCATTCAAAAGCTCCCTTCCTGTAGGACTACCTTTGGGTTTTATCTCTACTAGAGTCAATCTTGAATTCCATTAACAAAATAAAGTCATCACACCAGTGGTCAAAATGGAGATGTAGAAATCCTGAAACTTAGGGAGCTGGACAAATATAGACACATCTGTGGTGCATTACTGCTTCACCCCACTGCATACAGGCACATTTTGGCTACCAATTAATATAATTATGTGTTTACCAGACTTAAGCTGAATATATGTCGAAGGTGGACTTTGTTTCACAGTTGAACAGCTTTGGATCTAGTTGTGTACTTTAGATGCAGTTTGCCAGATGGTTAATGTCCTTTGCTCCTGATACTGATGCCATACCTTCCCTCATAGTGCCTTAAAGGGTGCTGATGCCCATAGAAAGCAGGCAAATATTTGTTACCTGCCCAGTTCTCTCTCCACGTCCATCCTTGCGGTGAGGGCCCTTCTCTCCTGGTTGGGCTGGCACAGGCAGCAGGGGTGCATGGTGGGGCTGCACGGGTAGGACGCAGACAGCTCCTCGTCGAGCTGCTGCAGGTGCAGGTCCAGCAGCTTCATTTGCCTCTGCATCTCTTTCTCCACCTGCCTCAAATGCTGCTTGGCATCTTCCAAAAGGCGATAGTGCAATGACATCATCATGCTACAAAGCTCATCAGGGCATGAAGGCAGCTGTGGCAGCCTGCACTCGGCAGGGCTGGGGGGAAATCGCCTTGAGTTTTGTCTGGAGGTGAGCCTGTGAGCAGAGCTGCAGGTGCTCTTGCAGCCTTCCAGTGGGCACCTTATGACATCATGGGTCCACTGCTAGGTCACAGCTCCACAGCTGCCATAGGACCGAGGGAGCCCATGGCAGGGGGACATGATGGGGGGCCTGTGGCCTGAGGGGGCTGGGGCAGTGGCCGGGCAGCAGAGCCACGGGCTGTCGGGAGCATGACTTGGGTGCGGTTTCATGCACAACGTTGCTTCAGCATGGCTGCCCACGCTATCCCCCTCTCTCCTGCCCTGGCACACCAGTGCAGGAGGAACAAAATCTCCACACATCCAGGCAGAAATCCCCATGGACGAAGCCCACGTGTCCATTCAGGTTGCTGATGGACACCACACAGTGGTGTGCTCTTGAAACTTGTTAGGATTCCCATTCCCAGGTCCTGGCCACCTCTGCCCTGGGAGAAGGGAAGCGCACACCAGGCAGCGGGCTGCTGCAAAGCCGCTTGCAGCCTTCCCCTCTTCACTGCATTTGCTGTTGTTTACCACAACCTTAAAGGAAAGGTGTAAATTAAGGAGAGCTGCAACTGCTCTTTATGTTTTTCCTCCTTTTCCAAGTGCTTTGCACAAGGTGTTGCATATGTTATGCCTACATATGTTTTTCACTGATACCCAGCATGGCCTGTCATGGTGTTATGCAAAGGCAACCAGAAGTCTTGGCCTGAATATGTGTCAGGATGGTCTTCGGCATGCTGGCACCCCCAGGGGCACCCCAGCTTCCCCAGTGAGTGCCACGGAAAGGCAAGGCGCTCACGTCAACTCCCGCACAGCTTCTCCTCAACGGAGTACCCTGCTTTCCCATCCTGCTGACTGCTGGCTCTCTGCTCCTGGGGTTTTCTTCAGTGGCTACAAGGTTTGGATGTGACTTCAAACCTAATCCCATCAGGAACTTCTCCTTCTGTCTGTTAGCTCTCTGCTTTTTTTTTTTTTTTTTTTTTTAAATGGGAAAGACACAGCAAATGGTTAAAAATGTCCAGAAATGGGAGGTTCTCTTTGCATCCCTTATTGACAGCTGCACTTGAGGTACTTCTGGAAACACTTTGAGAATACACACCTTCAAAATATTTATGTCCCTGCTCTCACAACATATTAAGCAAATAAGGTGCTAAGAAAAGCAGATCCAGGTCTTTGCTTCCTCCCCCCCCCCATTATACATGTTACTCCACAGCTTTCACCTGTCCATGTGTCAGAACAAGGTGCTCCCTTGGCAAGAGCGGATGACACGAGGATTTTGGTTGATGTAAGACAGCAATAAGGGTGCTGTGTCCCACAATTATTTTAATTATTTTACAGAGAAGACAGTGAACATGTGCCGCACACATGGAGGGCACTGCTGCAAGTGCTTTATGAGCTGACAGTTTTACTTTGCAGATCCTGTGTGTGCTGGGATCTGTTGTCTGCTCACTTGGTGAGCTTGGGCAGGGGTGCCTGAGTCATCAGCTTCTGCCTTGAGACTTCTGAAGCCATCCTGTCCTGTCAGCCTGTTGCATCAGTTTTTCTTGAGAATGACCTGCCTGGGTTTCAGTGCCAGTGATGCTCACAGCATGGATGGATTTTCCTGGCTCCCTGAAAGGCACCTGTGGTGTACTTTAATCACAAGCAGCATTGACACCAAAACCTCCCGGGTGTAATACTGCTGGAAAACATAAGAGAAGAATACAGGTGTTGGAAGTGCTTCACATTTTGGGGAAATCTGGTCTTTAAGGGCTTGCAGTGGATCGAGTATCAGTGTGAATCATAGAATGATAGAATGGTTTGGGTTGGAAGGGACCTTGAAGATCACCTAGTTCCACCCCCCTGCCATGGGCAGGGACACCTTCCACTAGCCCAGGTTGCTCAAAGCCCCGTCCAACCTGGCCTTGAACACTGCCAGGGAGGGGGCAGCCACAGCTTCTCTGGGCAACCTCTGCCAGTGCCTCACCACTCCCACAGGAAAAAAGTTCTTCCTTATATCTAGTCTAAATCTACACTTTTTCAGTTTAAAACCGTTACCCCTTGTTCTATCACTTCACTGCTTGACAAAGAGTCCCTCCCCATCTTTCCTGTAGCCCCCTTTAAGTACTGGAAGGCTGCTATAAGGTCTCCCCAGAGCATTCTCTTCTCCAGGCTGAACAACCCCAACTCAGCCTGTCACCGTAGGGGAGGTGGTCCACCCCCCTGATCATCTTTGTGGCCTCCTCTGGACCTGCTCAAGCAGGTCCATGTCCTTCATATGTTGAGGGCCCCAGAGCTGGACACAGCACTGCAGGTGGGGTCTCACAAGAGCTGAGTAGAGGAGGAGAATCACCTCCCTCTCTGCTTAGTCCCTGTGTATTTAAGAGAGCAGAAGACCCGTTGGGAGCCCAGGAGCTGCTCTACCCTGTTGGCACCTTCCCGTGGAGGAAGCACCTTCCACAGTTATTAGCTGTCCAAAAGCCCAAGTGGCCCCAGACAAGAAAATATGCCCTGCAGCCTCCAAGGAGGCAAAGCTGAGCTGGCCCTGGGGGCTGCTGCCATGGGGCTGCTTGACTGGAGGGAGACAGACCTGCTGGTGGTCAAGCGGGGAGTGCAAAAGGGGGACCCCAAGAACCACAAAGGCTAGCAGATAACACCTTAGGTTGCACAAAAATACATGAGGCTTCCTGCTGGACATTGCTCACATTCAGACCTTGCTGTATCATATGCAAGAATAAATTAAAACATTCAAATAACTTTATATACCTAATAGATTTACATATACCAGAAATGAAAAAACTTTGTTAAAAGCCAAATGCTTAATACATACTTGCAAAGTACACATACTTAATACATACTTAACAACTCACAATTCCCAGCAATGAGACTCACCATCAGCTTCCATCTCATCATCTCTGATAAGTGCTGTAGCCCAGGACATGAACCACATTCCCTCAGTGAAATAGAAGCTAATTCCAGCCTCAGCAGCACCAATACCCTCATCTTTCAGTCATCTGCAAACTGGTGAGCTGGATGGTGTGTTATTTTCCCAAGGCAAAATATGAGTTTGGCTTTTTAATAAATCAAGAGCCAGCTTATTTGATATTGAATGGTAGTTTCAACCAGAAGAAAAAAAAATTGCTTTATGCCTTATTACTCATAAAAGGCATCACTTTTTCAGTCTGAAGACAAATCTTTTATTTAAAAGCTGAATTCAAAGGCTGCCAATGTGTGAAGGGTCCCTCCTGTATGAAGCCTGTGTACCTTTTTGCCAGCAGTATTTTGTCTTTAAAACTCTGACACTGTAGTCTCTCTGGCTCCATATAAAAGAGCCTTTCAGGAGGTCTCTCTCACATGGTAAGAGCCCAAATCCTTTATTTCACAGAGGAACGTTTGTTTGCCAAGTCCCATCTGAAGAGACAAGACCACTCAAACTGAACATCGAGCTAAATTTTCCTGACAGAGTCCTGGGGGTATGAACTGCAGGAGCTGTTATGAAGCAAAACAGCTGAACACAAGGATGTGTGTCAAAATAAAATTTCTTCAGGAAAAGCAACAGCTTGAAAATGATTTGAAGTTAAACCTCCCTGGTGCATGAAATCAGGGGATATGGGGATTCACCATGTGTCCCGCAGGAGAGCAGGGAGGCTCTGCAGGCAGGGGTGCCGTGGGGTGCTGCCTCCTTTGGGATGCATCTTTATGCCCGGGGATGTGAGCTTTCCTCTGCAGGCATGCTCACCCAGGGAGTTTGTTCCCAGACCTGGAGAGCATCAGCAACAGCCCATCACCTTGAACACTGAGCAGAGGGACCTGCATGCAAAATAAACTCGGAGAGCCTCACCACACATCCTACGTAGGATAAATAGGTGTCTGCAGACACAAACCAGCAAAGAAGAGATTTGCCAAGCTGCTGCTCACCTCCTCTGCCCCCTCTCCTGCCCCAGCGTCACAGACTGAAGCACAGCGTGCAGCACTGCTCCTGGTGTGCGGCGGCCCTGCTTCCAGACCAGCGCATGCTTTTCCTTGTCTTACTGTGTCCCCAAACCTTCTGGGAAATCCTGCAGTAGGATGAAATGCCATGTCAGCGAGTGCTCTCTGGGAAACCAATTAACCCAGGGGTAGCAACGCTGGTTTACAAAGATTCCCGAAACACCTGTGCATGAAGCCGCTCATCCCCAAGGACCCTGTCACACTAACTGCGTATCTTCACTTATGTTTTCAATCAGTGTTTTCAAATCATAAAAACCTATCTGCAGGCAGGACTTTTTTTAATGCTCTGAAAACTGGGTTGTAGTTTTTAAACCAAAAGGAAATACACAGATCTGAAAGTAATTTGTAGCCTTGTTTCTCTTTATTGCAGCAGCTAAACAAAAACTGTATGCTGGTAGCATGCTTTTTTCATGCCTCTATTGCTGTTTTTAGTTAAAATCCCCATGCTTTCAACCTTTGGTCTTCCCCGTGCAAACCACTTACTTTGCAGTTACACGGGCCGGATGGGTGACTAGACTAGACAACGTGTTATTTTTCATCTTCCATTCCATGATCTTTCTATAAAGATCTACATGGTGATAATTCTTACTGTGACTTCTTAGGGGCTGAGCAGAAGTGTGCACCTGCTTTAGCTCTGACAAGTGACTCTCTTGTTTGTATGTACTTGAGAACAGTTCTGTAAGGTGGCTGCTGCATTTACATTGTTTGCAGATTATAGCAGCTGGATATTATAAATTTAGTTGCAGCATTCTCTGTTGTACATGATCATTTCCAGTAGTGTCCTGTACTGCTGGTTAAGGATACCAATTAAACTCAGACACCAGAGTGAAAAGAGCAGGCGTATTTTACTAATGATAACAGGGTAATACAGAAAATATGCAGTAAGAAAAAGCAGAATAGTGCACTTAAAGCAGCAAACAGCAAAAAAACAGGGTAATGCATTAAATCATTAG